GGGTCCCATTAAAATGACTAGATTTCTTAGCATTATCTTAGCATTAGCAGTACCAGTAGTATCTGCAGAGAATTTAACATCAGTATTTCATATTGTATGTCATTTTAGAGCTCCGGTTTCCCCTACTAGTCAAAGACATGGGGTACAGTTGAATTGGGTAGGCTAAATGGTCCATAGTGTATGTATGTGTGCGAATGAGTGTGTAGGGGTTTCCCAGTGATGGGTTGCGGCTGAAAGGGCATCCGCTGTGTAAAAACATATGCTGGATAAGTTGGAGGTTCATTCCGCTGTAGTGACCCCAGATTAATAAAGGAACTAAGCCGAAAAGAAAAAAAATGATTGAATGAACGTCACTTTACAGTTCTTAGTGCAAATTCATTATAGCAACATTTTGTGCTCATCCAATGTCATCCTTCAGTCTTTGGTAAAGGTTTTGGCTGCATTTTAAACTCAGTAAGTACTGTTTGTAATGTAGTCAAATGTTTACAATACAAGCGCAGCCATTAAGAGGTCATTTCTGGTTGATGTCAAAATACCAGTATTTTGGAATGCATGTGTGGATAGTTTTTTCCGGAAAAATTCTGTAACGTCCTTGCCTGTGTGAACAATGCTTTTTTTAATTTACCAGTAAAGTCGTTCTGGAAATTTACCGGTATCATTGTTTGAATAGGGCTTTTGTTTCTGTTCCTCCAGTGTTTTTATCTCGCGATTTGAACATGTACGATTTATAATTCGTCATACAGCACCTTTTTTGCATGCTCCAGTCCTGACTGATACTTCTTCTGTAGTATACTGTTTGAACCAATCATAAGGCAGCGAGCCTAAACAGAGCGCGAGAACATGAGCCTGAGCTTAATGAAAAATGGCCTAAACAGGGATGATAAGTTCAGGAGGACTGTTGAGGTACATCAATGTGTGGTGTGGAAGATAAATTTGTAATGACAAACTAACAAAACATTGCTGCATCTCTGATATAAGTTATTTATGGAGAAAATTTAAATCCACTGGATGTTTGGGTGTTCTGTGTTGATCTGAGGTGCGCCTGGAATGCACTGAAGTAGGTTTCAGATTCATACTGTAAAACATCTGTGTGAGTCGAAATCGTAATTAAAACCGAAATCATAATGTTGTTACAGAAAAATGGTTTCTTTTGCCCATATCACACAGCCCTAATTCCCCCATTCATTTAGGTAGGATTTTGGTCTTGGATGAACTGCCTGGGCATGTTTTTTTAATTTACCAGTAAAGTCGTTCTGGAAATTTACCGGTATCACTGTTTGAATAGGGCTTTTGTTTCTGTTCCTCCAGTGTTTTTAACTCGCGATTTGAACATGTACGATTTATAATTCGTCATACAGCACCTTTTTTGCATGCTACAGTCCTGACTGATACTTCTTCTGTAGTATGCTGTTTGAACCAATCATGATGCAGCGAGCCTAAACAGAGCGCGAGAACATGAGCCTGAGCTTAATGAAAAATGGCCTAAACAGGGATGATAAGTTCAGGAGAACTGTTGAGGTACATCAACGTGTGGTGTGGAAGATAAATTTGGATACTAAAACGCTGACGTACCGCAGATAATTTGTAAGACCTGTCAGTCACATAGCACATCTAAAAGCATGTGGGAAGTGCAATCACGTCACTTCCTTCAGCATTTTTTAATGTGCTTTGCTTTTGTGGTTTGTCGTTGCTCAGAGACCATTTCTCAATGGATAACAAACTAACAGAACATTGCTGCATCTCTGATATAAGTTATTTATGGAGAAAATTTAAATCCACTGGATGTTTGGGTGTTCTGTGTTGATCTGAGGTGCGCCTGGAATGCACTGAAGCAGGTTTCAGATTCATACTGTAAAACATCTGTGTGAGTCGAAATCATGATTAAAACAAAAATCACAACGTTGTTCAAGAAAAATGGTTTCTTTTGCCCATATCGCACAGCCCTAATTCCCCCATTCATTTAGGTAGGATTTTGGTCTTGAATGAACTGCCTGGGCGTGTTGCAAATATGACTGCAGAGTGAACTGAATTTCCTTGAAAGGGACTTTAATATGGCTAAAGTCAACAGGGTAACTGGTTAGCGGTGTGTTTAGCTAGAATTATGAGCAAATCCCTTCCAATCCTTCCGCTGATTTATACAGCGTACGCGTATGCTCCAGCTTGGCTGAAACCAACGCTGATGTGCACCTCTCAAAAAATGTAAAAAATACGCGTTGCACCGATGTGTAGTGCAAGCTCTGTGATTAGTCTGCTTGGTATTGCTGACAAGTGTGGGTGGTGCAGAGAGCCACGAGTCAGATACAGCGTGTGTTTACAAGTGTCGAGTCCCGTAAAGGAGCTCCTGTTGGAAACTTTTGTTTTGTGTTCACCTTATGATTAACATTTTTGCACGTTTGTGAGTTTTAGCTACTTGTACATTTAAGGTAGCATTCAGAAAAAACAAAACACCCGCGAAGAAACACAATGCAGAGGAACATAAAAACTTCACTGCCAGCTAGCTTTTTGAAAGTTGCAGAGCAACACAAACAGCGCGCTGAAGTATAAATGCGCAGCAACAGGCAAGGTATGCACCTTGGGTCACATCGATCAAGTATAAACCAGCCTTAAATAGAACATAAGCTTTGTCCTATAATGAACATAAGCTTTGTCCTATAATGAGGTTGGCTTTCTCTCCTGAAATGAAATCACACTAAAGTTTAAAGTAATCAAACTAAACCTGATAAGTATGAACACAATCTCACTTGAAGGTGTTTAGTTTCTCTGAAATGAAACTCTTGTTTATTTTTATTTTTAATTTTGGCAGAAGTTGGGAACTATGGTGCCGTTTACACTAGTGCGTTTTCGGTTTAAATGTTTTTACCTGGCATCTATACTACTCCAGTGTCTTTGACCCGCAAAAAAAGAGCGTTTCAAAATTACTGAAGACCCTATTTAAGTAAAGAAATGCTGCTGTTAGTCAAAAAATATTGATAAATGACGATACTGAAATATTTACATCATACAATCTTGCTTTTAGTTGGTATTGATGCTAGCTTTGCTGTCTTGCATTCTCTCTTTTCACCAGCAGGGAGATTTAATCACATTAATATTAGGATTTTAACGCTTTTCCTTCAGAAAATAAGATGAGATTGGGGTTTGGACTTAAGGACTACTGACGTACCTGATACAAGCATTATTTGTTTGTTATATTTTTCCCATTTTTACTTCATTTGCATATTTTTATTGTTGCAGAATTTGTTTCCCACAGTATCTAAAATGGTATCGAATACCAATAATTTTCAAGGTATTGTACCGAAGTTGGAAATTTCAATATTGTGACAAAACTAGCTGCTATTCCTTTCTGGATTGACATACTAAAACAGAAACATTTTAAAATGGCTGTTCACAATTGCTCTCTGACTGGTCTACTAAATAATTTTTTTATTGTGTCGTCTCAAATGACTATTGCACATTTGGTTGATGGCAAGAACAGAGAGAAGGGTCCAATGCTTTTAAATGGGCTCACCTAACCCCACCCCTAACCCTACCCCTCAGTGGACAGTGACGTCACTAGCTCCATTTGAGTGCATTGTGTCTGACATTGCATCGCTGAGTGATGCAATCTCAGCTTGCATCATAAAGGCTGCATCCAGATACTATTGAGTACAGATGTCACAAAATATGCGCATGCTCTGTGAGCGGAATGGTCACGTATCATGTATTTTATGCTGCATAATGTGAACGAAGATGTTTTTTGAAAAACAATAAAATGTTTTTAATCTAAAATGCTTTAATTTAATTAATTAATTTAATGAATGAATTTTTTTAAGGCGAAGCAGTGGCGCAGTAGGTAGTGCTTTCGCCTCACAGCAAGAAGGTCGCTGGGTCGCTGATTCAAGCCTCAGCTCAGTTGGCGTTTCTGTGTGGAGTTGCATGTTCTCCCTGCATTCGCGTGGGTTTCCTCCGGGTGCTCCGGTTTCCCCCACAGTCCAAAGACATGTGGTACAGGTGAACTGGGTAGGCTAAATTGTCTGTAGTGTATAAGTGTGTGTGAATGTGTGTGTGGATGTTTTCCAGAGATGGGTTGCGGCTAGAAGGGCATCCGCTGCGTAAAAACTTGCTGTATAAGTTGGCGGTTCATTCTGCTGTGGCGATCCCAGATTAATAAAGGGACTAAGCCGACAAGAAAATGAATGAATGAATGAATTTTTTTAAAGATCCCATAAATTTTTTTAGATGTTTACTTTTTATGAATTAATTATACATTTTAGTTTTTTTTAAATGTTAGTATTAGTATTGTTAGATTTTAGGATATCTATAAGCTAGTGTGCACCAAAACAGTGACAAAACTAACATTTAAAAGATATAACACTGATATAAACATGTAAAGCTTGTAGTTTGTCACTTCCACCTAAATGGATCAACGGTTTTATTCATGTCACCTCGCACTACTCATCTATTCATAACTCAAATGCTCTCTAGAATCTGATGTGCCCCGCCCCCTTTAAGATGCTTCTCATTTGAACTCTCACTGGCAGAGTGGTGGGTAAAGCAAATTTGTTTTAGGGAAAAGGGGAGGAACTACACTATGCCCCACCCTCTCTTCATGTTTCGGTTGAGATTACGTCAAAACATCAAACAAAAATTGACATTTCAAAGCACTTCACAGGAGCCTCATGCCAAAAAATGCACTAGTGTAAACCAAACACCAATTTTTAGCACAGTACCTCAAGTTTTGTGTTCATGAGTTACTATAGGCATCAAAGAGCTCTGCCTAGCCTAATTTCTGCTTTTTTTTGATGAAGGGGTTGTCTAGGTGGTTATCTGTGTGGTTGTTTTTAATCTTTAGGCTTTCATGTGCATTCCATGTGTGTGAAGAGATAACACAGAACATCAGATCAGAGAGCGAGTGCACCTAGTTATTTGGAGCACCAATAGCTGATGTTTTCTTTCTGTCTTTCTTTCTTCCAGCTGTTTATCGCTCTGGATGATCATCGTGTGTTTGTGTTTGTTTATTTCAGGTGATCCAGCAGAGTGAGTGCTAACAGGTGCTGCGGTCGTGGGCTCTCAGCAGGTAAGTCTATTTAAAGCTCTTTCACACAGCGAGTCCCTCTCTTGAACCTTGACTCGTGACACTTTTTTTTTTTTTTTTTGCTCAGAGCACAGCGAGATGTGCCCTCAGAGTGAAACCTGTGGTTATGTTTGATTGGAGATGATTTTTAATGTTTATGAGGCATTGATATTACTGATTGTGGTGAATGTTTTGGAATGCTGATGGTAATTCAGTGTATGAAAATTAGATTATTGTCTTTGAAAATGATTAAGGGTGCTTTCACACCTCGACTTTTGTTTCAGAACCTGGTGCCCAGTTAGCATGGTTCGTTTGGCATATGTAAGCCTGTATGATTTTGACAATCATGACAAAACAATCGGTGCTAGATTGCCTGAATGAGGTGGTCTTGGCTCTATTAAAACGAACGCTTGAGAGGATTGTTTGCAATGACGAAGCAATTCAATCCAACAAACTAATGAACCAGGCTAAAGTGTATTATGAATATGCAATAGGGATATATTTGCTGTATGAAGAGAGAATTATGAGTAGGAGGGGATGTCATTCCTACCGGTAAATGACACGTCTTCGCTGAGGCCAGCTTCCAGTCTCCACTGCTGAGACTGCAGCTCTGCACAAGACTTTTGGCCAGCGGAGAAATAAAATGGTCGTGCCGAACTGAGTCTGGTTCTCTCAAGGTTTTTTTTTTCTTCACTCTCCTGTTGGTGAAGTTTTTTTTCCCTCTCCGCTGTCGCCACTGGCTTGCATGGTTCAGGATCTGAAAAGCTACTCATCGATGAATTTGCTCTTCAGTGTTTGGAGTCTCAATAATGACATCAAACCACACTGAACTGAGCTAAACTGAACTGAACTTATACACTAAAATCTGAACTACCCTGATCCAGTTACTATGACCATTTATGTGAAGCTGCTTTGACACAATCTACGTTGTAAAAGCGCTATACAAATAAAGCTGAATTGAATTGAATTAAATGTGCATTTCACATCAAATACAGAAGTGAAAGCATGCTAAACTATTATCGAGAGCTGTTTAACACTGGGTAATTTCTTGGTTCTTGGTTTACTTGAACACAGTCACAGGTCTTTAAAAAAGCTTCCGATTGAAAACCTTTCACTATATTAGGGTTACAGTTTTGCGCAGTCTAAAAAAAAAAAATGTGGTGGCTGGTTATTATAATCCCATCTTGACATTGCAGATCTTGCGATGTGGCTATTGCAAATTCACACATTGTGATATTGATGCTAAACATTATATTGTACAGCACTAATTCTGACCATTTTTGAGTCACAACTTGTAATATCACTTTAGACGTTTTTGTGTTGCTAAAAAATGCCTGGTTCCACACAATTCCTTCATATTGTCTCAACGCAAAACAATTAAGTTAACGTAATTCTTTTTACAAATTTAGGTGGATTAAACTTTTTACAATTTTTGTATTATTTTTCTGTCTTTTTCTTTGCATTAAAAATTGTATTTGTATTGCTTAAGGTGTAGGGATGGGAAGATTAATCGATATGTATCGATACGCCGTCATGCGCGTGCACGATGCGAGTGCATCGGTTGAGCAGCAGAGGATGAATGAAATTTTGGAAGCAAATCGAGATGCATCGGTTTTTGCGAGATGCATCGTTTTTTCCAAGATACAGCTTATATTTTTAATATAGAATGTATTTTTTATTTATTAACAAGTGTTGTCAACCTATTTTTGGCGCATAATTTAATCGACCTACATAAAGTATGCATTAGCAACGGATTTGCGGATGTGTACACTTACACTACAACTCAGTGTATCAGGTGTGCGGATGAAGCTAGTGGTGCGCCCTCAGAAAGCGCGAGAAGCAAAACAAACATTTTATTCCCAACTAGTTTTAAATCTAAAATATGGCAACATTATGGATTTAAGGATGGACGACTTGATAGGACAGATGCAATTTGCAAAATGTGCCGCGCATCTGTAAAATACGCGGGCAGTACGACTATCTTGAAGCGGTGCCACGGTGTTGTTGTGAAAGCATCTTCCAGTGTTCCTGCATCCCCGGCTTTCGCACTGCTTCAACTGTAGCTACCAGCTCCAAAAGTGGTGAGAAAAGCATTGCAAGTTTTTTTCCATGCGCAACAGTCTTGTGCACTCTATGCCAATAACGGATGTTATTGCATTGTTCATCTGCAAAGATATTCAGCCTAGTGTCACGGAGAACGAAGGTTTTAAACACCTCCTCCTGTTAATTTTTATTTAATTATAATAATAATAATAATAATAATGATAAAAATAATGGGTGTCACGGTGGCACAGTGGGTCGTTTGACCACCTCACAGCAAGAAGATTGCTGGTTTGTTATATTTTTATAAGCCTGTTGTTTACAGTGACAGTGATGTTTCAAAGCAGCATAACACTGCTAGTTCACAACCTTAAGTTTTGAATATTCAGTGGCTATATATATCTTTGTAAAACTTGTTTTCATAGTTGAAAAGTTAAATCACAATTCTTGTTGTGCAATGGTAAACCTTTATCTTGAAAGAGTGCAATTATATATATATATATTTTAATATATATTGCACTTATACATTCTGTTTATCTTGAAAATACTTAAATAATATGTGCTATATGTTCTAAAATGGCCCTCTACTGTAAACTGACACTCTGGCTCAGAAAGAAAAGCCAGTTTGTAAAAAAAGTCTTGGTTTTGCTTGGTTAATAAATAATCAAACTCATTCAATGGCACAGCATCCTCTTTCACATCATCTCATAAACTTGATCTAATTAGTTAGTGCTGAAATATCGCATTGTATCGTGATATGGGTGTGAATCGTATCGTGTTGCATCGCAATATGTCACAAATGTATCGCTAATATATCGTATCGTATTCTTTGTATCGAGATGCGTATCGGATCGGCATTATAGCTTAGATGCCCAACCCTATTAAGGTGATATATTAACTTCTTTGCTGAGTGTGATGCACCTTGCATACTAATAAAGCATTTTTGCAGAAGTAGATGGAGCTGATGGAAATGCAAAGGCCTGAGTATCTAAAATGACCTTTAGCTCTGCAGCTAAACTTCTCGTGTGCAGAGATGGGTTGAAGCTGAACAGAATATTTGCAGTTGAGAAGTCTTGCGCTTTTAATGTTGTGCAGAGTTTGTAGAAGAAGAGGAAGTATGTTTGGGTGCAGCCGCCAGAGGACTGGAGAATGATTGACAAATGACGAATTCCCCTAAGCTCCACCTGTTAATATCAGCTGTGTATAAATTCTTGAGGCAGTTGTTGCACACCGCCTATATGTAATTCTTGCATTGCATTGAGGAGAACAGAATTCTGTTAATTGAATCATTCATTTGAATCTCATAAATTACTAATATTTTTGACATTGAAGAAAACTCTCTCCTGACCTTTTTTATTAAACATGCATGGAATTAATAAAATAATATTCCAACACAACATAAGTTTTTATAACATTAGTTTATCTGAAAATGAGCAGTTGTGTGGACTGTTGGACAAGTGTCGAAGTGTGTCTTTTTCAGAGGAAATGACATGTATGCAGTGCAGTCACCACGACCTGGCGAGATGTTTTACGGTCCTGGAACAGGAATCGCTGACGGCTGTAATGACCACAAAACCCAAAAACCATTAGTTTACATCCTGGCCTTGCCGTTTTTTCTGAGCTCTAGTGATTAATTTAACATCGCTGAGAAAGAGTGATGACTGCGCATCCCTGAGCATTAGCGTATTTTACAGGACTGCGGAGAAACGACGGTTAAAATGCTTGGATTACACTTTCTGTCTGATTTCTGACGTCTGGGAAATGCGAGGAAAGCCCTGTAGATTTATTGGTTTGGTTTTCGGGGTTTTAGTGGTATCAGATACAAATGCAGGACGTTGCCTTGTGGGGTTTTTTTTGAGTTTCTCGAAGTCTCTTCTGAGGAGTCGCTGACTTTAATTTGAAATGTTGTTTTTTTGGGTTGTGTTGTGCTTTTGGGAAGATTAAGAGGAGGTTTGTGTGTCTTGATTGTTGTCGTTCTGATTTTTGGCCTCTCTTTACAGTGATGTTGTAAGTCAGGGGCGTTTGAGGACACAGGGAATGCTGGGAAACAGAGCAGCGTGTGTTTGGAGTCGCTCTTTTCAGAGAAGCAGGCCTCGATTGTGCTGCTGAGTATGAGAAGTTTTTATTTGGGATGCGCGTGTTTTGGGTTCAAATGATGTCTGGAGGATACTCAATGTTTTCGGCTGATTAATTGCTTTAAATGGTACGTTTGGTCTTTTAGAAAAGTTGTGAACTCTAATTTAGTGTTTTTCTCGTTTTGATTATTTTTTTCATCTCTAAAATGTGACCCTGCATTATTATTATTTTTTTTTTGAGAAAATGATAAAGCAGTTCATCAATGATTGGTTTCAATTTGCTGTTTAGGTGATGAAAAATAATTGACAAAACATAAGCAAGCAAACTGAAAATACAATAATATGTTACAATTCCTATATTTTAAATAATAATAGTAAATTAACTTATTTATACAGTAATATGCAGACCAATTAAAAATGTTTTTATCATTTTTTTTTCTGAAAGATATGTATATATTTAAGTTTGTATTCCTAAATTATGCAAGATAGCAAATTGGCTTACAGCAGGGAAAATACGCTTTTATCAGAAAAGATATTTCCCTGGATGTTGATCACCGAAGAAATCCATATATGCAAAGAAAATAGATTTAATTAGTTTACAAATGCAGTTATGTGTAATAAAATAAAATGATGCAAGGAAAAAGTATTGAACATATGAAGAAAGGGAGGTGTAGAAAGGCAGTGAAAGCCTAGACAGCAGCTAAAATCTCAGTAGTTCTTCATCAACCCTCTGCCCCTCATGATTGTAAATGAATATCGGCTGCTTTAGACCAACATCTACATTAGCAGGATGATGAAGATGAAAACAGGGTGGACATTTTAGCCAGACAATGATCCAAAACTCAGCCAAGGAAACTCTCAGATGCTTTCAGAAAAAGAAAATCAAGCTGTA